CGAATAATTCAATTAGGCCAAACACCGAATAATTCAATTAGGCCAAACACCGAATAATTCTGCTTCTATAATTTTATGGGGCTCATAATCCTGGTTTGAATCCTATATCTATTGAATAGGAAAATAAGAATGAAAGTACACTTAAATCACAAAATATTTCATTATGTGATGTATGTATATATGTAAGAATAATCTAAAAACTTGCCAAACTTAGTACCAGGAATCAGGGTTGGAATAAGACATGTTGAGACCCCTACCACTATACTAGTATTGGTGCGTTTTTCTTCTTGCAAATTTCTGTTTTCAAATTACCAGTGTAAATCAAGTATGTATTATTTTATTTATCAATAATAAACATAGGTATAAAATCATAAATTCAATATAACAAAATCCTTTTAATTACTACATTCTAAATATTTAATCAAATTGGCTGAATACAGATACTGGTAATATGACCAATTATTTTTATAATTGAAGTGACAAACATACACAGTAAACAGTCCACTTGATGGTAAGTGGCTACTGCAGTCCATCAACAAATGCAGCAAATATCATACAAAAACAAAAAATACATTTGCTATGCATGCATTGCCCTGAGGACTAAGACAGAATTCATTCATTCATTCATTCATTCATTGATTACAGCCCTTCACAAGTCCACTGCTGAACATAGGCCTCCCCCAAAGAATGCCACAAAGCACGGTCCTGAGCCACCTGCATCCATCGACTTCCTGCATATCTTACCAGGTCGTCACTCCATCTAGTGGGGGGACCCCCTACACTTCGCCTGCCGGTACGAGGCTGCCACTCGAGAACCTTAACTTTCTTCCCCATCGGTTGTCGGTTCTTCGAGCTATATGGCCGGCCCATTGCCACTTCAGCTTACTAATCCGTTGGGTTATGTCGGTCACTCTAGTTCTACTGCGGATATACTCATTTCTGAGTTTATCACGCAGAGAAACTCCGAGCATAGCCCTCTCCATAGCTCGCTGAGCGACCTTGAGCTTCCTCATCCGGCCAGCAGTGAAGGACCACGTCTCAGTTCCGTATGTCATCACTGGCAACACGCACTGGGTGTACAGTCTCGTTTTCAAGGTTTGAGGTATACCTGACGAGAAGATGTGCCGTAATTTCCCGAACGCTGCCCAACCGAGTTGAATCCGTCGATTGACCTCTCGGTCGAAGTTGGACTTACCTAGTCGGACTATTTGTCCCAGGTAAACATACTCGTCAACAACTTCGAGCTTAGTGTTCCCAACAACTACCGGCATAGGTGTGACATGGACATTAAACATGATCTTTGTTTTGTCCATGTTCATCTTAAGACCTATCCGTTGGGAAACACTATTGAGGTCATTGAGCATAGTGCTTAGGTCCTCCAGCGATTCTGCCATAAGGACTATATCGTCGGCAAATCGAAGGTGAGTGATGTACTTGCCATTGATGTTGATACCGTATCCTTTCCAGTCCAGAAGCTTGAAAACATCTTCCAATGCAGCGGTAAAGAGTTTCGGGGATATGACGTCACCCTGTCTTACACCTCTCTGCAATTGGATAGGTTTCGTACTCTGGTTCTGTACTCGGATAGCCATCGTAGCCCTACTGTACAAGCACTTCAACACTTCGATATACCGACAGTCAACTTGGCATCGCTGAAGGGACTGCAGCACCGCCCAAATTTCGACGGAATCAAAGGCTTTCTCATAGTCCACATACGCCAGACATAGTGGCAAATTGTACTCTTCGGACTTCTGTACAATTTGCCGAAGGGTATGTATGTGGTCTATGGTGCTAAAGCCCTTTCGGAAACCGGCTTGTTCGGGAGGCTGGAAGTCGTCAAGTCTGCGCGCGAGACGATTCGTAATGACTCTCGAAAACAGCACGTAGACGCGGCTCAGAAGGGAAATCGGTCTGTAGTTCTTCAAGAGAGCGTTGTCGCCTTTCTTGAAGAACAAGACCACCGCACTTCTGCTCCACGCCTCCGGTGTAATGCCACCATGGAGGACGGAATTAAAGAGCTTCTGAAGGACTTCAAGTACCGGTTTTCCACCCGCTTTCAGAAGCTCCGCTGTAATTCCATCCTCGCCTGGGGCCTTGCCGTTTTTAAGGTGCTGGAGAGCCATTCTAATCTCGCTCAGACTGACGTCCGGGATATCATCGGAATAATGTCGGATAAGACTCGCTCTTGGATCATTACTCACACTCGCGTGTGGCTCCAACGATGACGTGTACAGCTGCCCATAGAACTTCTCAATCTCACTCAAAATCTCACGTGCCCCGGAAACGATGCCACATTCTGTCTTCAGCTTTGACAGTTGGCGCTTTCTGGCAGACAGATCTCTGGCAAAGACTTTGGAGCCTTGGTTCCGCTCGATCGCTTCTTCAATACGAGCTGTATTGAAGTTGCGTAAGTCCCGCCGCATGCATTTGGAGATCTGTCTGTTCAGTTGCCTGTATGCTGTCAAATCTGTTGAAGAATGTAGCTTCATCTCCCGTCTAACAGCCATGAGATTAAGAGTGTGATCGGAGAGTTTTTGTGTTCTTCTGCGGCGGGTCTTGCAGAACTTAGCTCCGACCGCATGGACAGTTTCCACGAGCTTGTCATTCAAAAGACAGAATGCCTCACCTCAAAGGAAAGGAAAAAAAAACATAATCCGACGGACTTCTAGGCAGAAAAGAACTCCTTTTCTGCCAAGGAGTCCGTCGCAGGTTTGGTCCACCTAGGACTACCTAGACCAAACACTGAATAACCCACCAAACACTGAATAATTGAATTAGGGCAAACACCGAATAATTCAATTAGGCGGTGTTTACCGAATAATTCAATTAGGCCAAACACCGAATAATTCTGCTTCTATAATTTTATGAGGCTCATAATCCTGGTTTGAATCCTATATCTATTGAATAGGGAAATAAGAATGAAAGTACACTTGAATCACAAAATATTTCATTTGTTTGTTTGGTTGGTAGTTACATAATAACTATGAAATTTTCATTTCGTAGTTATTGTGTATTTGTTATTTTGTAATAGCTAAGGAATTTTAATTTCTTTTGTTATATAGGTTGGTACGTCTTAGTAATTATGTAACTTGACCGATAGACATCATATCTACACAATATAACTGTTTTGTCAAAATGGTGGTTCATAGGTATGCATAGCTTGACAAATTCTATATTCGTAAACTAAAGTACACATTATGTTGGTTAATGTATCACAAAACCAGGACCTAATGACCAGGAGGTGCTGTGGTTGAGTTACTAAAAGAAAATAGTTAACCGATTGTGTTGAAACTTTACGAACTCACAGAGAGCAATGCCCAGTGGGAATTTAACTATATTTTGTCAAAAAATAAAAACTTGAAGTTCTTTTTCAGAAAAAAGAAACATAAAATTAATAAATCTTTGACTATCTTAAATCTTAATAACTACCACATTAATAGATTCTATATAGGCGGGTCGCTAGAATGTGATAAAAAGTGTACTTATCTGAAATTCCTACTGGTGTACAATTTACCACGCCAGATTACTGAATGATAACATTAAGTTTCATCTGATAACAATGTTGTTTGTCCAACATTCTTTTGAGATAACATTCAATTAAAACAGAATTAGTTTCACCACTAAAATATATAAAATAGCAAAAGAAACAGACATTCACATCTGTTTTTTTTTTGCTATTTTTCTTTAAAATCTTTACTTGCACATTAGGATTTTCTAAGTTAATAAATTGCACTAGGACAAGCATTCAGACCCTGAACAATAGTTTGTAGGCTTTCCAAAAAATTGTTTCGTGTTCAAACCCTTGGACCTCAACTCAATGCTAAGCAAAACTCAATACTACTGCACCACAGAACTGTGGATTATGTAGGTATCCAGTTGAAAAATGGACATGGGTTACCCTGTATTTCAGAGGTATCAAACTTGATTTAACACATAGGTTAATTCTGGGAGAGATGGCCGTAAGGAAGAGATGGCCAATTGAAAATTGTTATGAAACACATCTCATCAAAGACTGGTTTCAATGCGTTTCATCCACTGTGGGTACATGAAACTTACACCGAGTTTGATGATAAGTGTTCATTATGTCGACAGAAAAGAAGAATAAGTTAAGACTCAAAAGCTAAAGGAAGAATGGTTAAAATGCAGATTAACAAACTGGCAATCTCTCCCTTGCTACTATGGCCATCTCTACCAGACACTACGGAAGTGATGGTATTTGTAATTTGAAGAGAAAAGTAATTTATGACACTAATTACATATGTTAAAGTTCAATATTCTTATGTGACATTCAAAGAGTTTAATGTCGAAAGTTTCATTAAAAGTTGATTTTTGTAAATTAATCTTTGTAGTTTTAATTAGAATGGTTTCTTAAAAAACTTTGTTTTATTGCCATTTATAAAATTATGGGTACGCTAATGGCCTAAATTCATCCAAAATATATGATTCTGTATTTAGGAACTAAAAGTCAGTGAGTGTGACTGAAAGAATGATTTTTTAAAATTACACATTTAGCAGCAGAATGAACAAATTTATTGAACTTTGTGAACTACATCTTTCTCCTCTTCCTACCTACATGCCATGTTTGACATGATTATTAAAGTTTATTTTAATTTAATTTATGTTTGCTTAGGCGTTTAATATATTGTACTAACACAATAAAGTAAATTATTTAAGCACTCAATCATCATTATGATGAAGAGGGGAGGCCTATGCTCAGCAGTGGACTTGTGAAGGGCTGTACAAATTGTAATATTTGCTGTCTGACTAAGAAAGGAAGATAGATAATAGAGATAGAGCGCATTAACATCGAAACCAAGGCAAGATGCTCAACTTATTGTAAGAATGCACAAATGCATATAAAATCATCAACAACCAACTACATGGTCCAGCAGCAGACAGAAAAAGGAGAAAGATTGTGCAAGAGTGCACATCAAGAAGTTGAGCATGGTTTCAGTGCCTTTAGTGTTTCTTGTACTAAAAACTATTTACAATATGCAAACCTCTTTATCGTTATCTTCGGTGTCCTGGAGTCTGGGAATTCGTCGCTTAGGAATAACTAAAAAATGAACCGGTGCTTGTGGGCTGACATCATTGAAAGCAAGGCACAATTCATCTTCATAAATTATGTCGGCTTTGATTTCTTTTGATATTATTTTGTCGAAAATTGTAGGACCTGGTGCTGCAACGCTTTGAGCCTGAGCACGACGCACCTCATCACTATACGGACGCCGGACAGCGATGGCTGCCCCGCGCGTTAGATCATAGATATTCGTTGGATATGACTTTTTCAGGCGAAATTTCAAAGCACGTTGAAAAACTTTATCGAACATTTCTCACTGAATTCACTTTTACCGGGAACAATTTTGGTATAGTTACTTTACCAATTCAATCGTATTCGTATTTGAATCTTATCCTATTCCTCTTTTTCGTGCTAAATGCGAACGCTAAGGCCAGCTGAGGCTCTCCCGATTATATTAGCTTATCTATGCTAAAGCAAATGCGATAAGAGTAGTTTTGATTTTGACAATTGAGATTGAGTTGACATTAGGCATGGGCAAAAAATATCGATATTATTAATAAAAATATCGATAAATTAAATCGCGATATATCGATATTTATTTTAGAGTATCGAATTCGTATATATTTTAAAATGTTGTTTTAATGACAAAACATTTAAAGGAGGTACAAAAGTATTCATATGTGGTTCGTTGTCGTTTTTTTCGTCGTCCAACCGTCAGTAATATAAAATTTTGGACCTTATCTTTACATCATGCGAATGATTACGATATATCAATATTTATCACGCGATATATGTCGATACTATTTAAAATATCGACTTGATATATATCGCTATATTTTTTCCCTTGTCCATCCCTAGTTGACATTCACAAAAGACATTTCAGCTGTGTTGCCAAATTGAGTCCAACCAACTGCCAAACAAAAAAAAATCAAGGGCAACAAATCAGGAGATGGGCAGCCGCGTCTTCCTAAAAACGACCAAAAATAAAAAATAAACTGTGGTTGCTAACTCACTTGCCAGCGTGGTAACCATCCCTTTTATGTGGAAATCTATAGGGGAGGCCTATGTTCAGCAGTGGACTTTAATAAGCTGTAACAGTAAGTTGCCAAAAATTCGCCGCCAAAATAGCTTTATGTTCTTACATTTTTAAATCCGTAATATATTGAGGTAAAAATTTCATACATATTTCAAATCAATTATTTTTACCATGTAGAAAAAAATATATCATAGTTCATATGTTATATAATATTGTATTATGTATAATATTAGTATGTTCTTTTCCAAGTCATAGATTGCAATTTGTCCCAGGATCATAATGCTGAAACCACGTTTCTTCCATTGTAATAAACTGTGTAGTCAATGAGGGTAGAAAACAAATAAGCGGGAACCCCCTATTGATACGCTTATTATAAAGTTCTGCGCAGGCATTCTTTTAGCACAAGTACAGAAGGCGATGCTGCAGTAAGGTTTTCATTACAGCCCATGGGAAATTCATTGCAGACACATGCCTGCCCCGAACTTGCTGTACCTCCCTACACTTTGTTTACAGATATGAGGCTACCATTCAAGAACCTCTACATCGAGTTCATCATGGGAGTATCGAAACCAGAGGTTTCCAAACCACGATCCGTCAACAAGGACAACAATCACCAAAGGGCGAAACAAATCGCGAAAAAAGAAATAGGCTGATATATTTTTTTATAAAACTTAAGTGACAAACGAACTTACAATACCACTAATGGTAGTAGGTGGTAGGACTCCTTTTCTGTCTAGAAGTCCGTAAGTTTAGTACCCCCCCCCCCCTCCTCCCCCTCTTACTTATTTCTGCCGCCAAGCAGCAGTGCTTGCACAGCTGTAGTCTGGTCGGATGGGTATAGAGAGTCAGTATAATTACAGCCTGCGAGGCATTCTCCCTCTCAGTCCTCAGAGTGACGATGCACCTGCGGCCTTCTTAGTTTGAAGTTGGCGGCAAGTGTCATGGACTGCAGGTAGTCACAAAGTTATTATCTTTTATTATAACATGTAATAAATTCAAAATGTTTAATAATAATAATAATTTTTAATTCTCTTTCCCCCTAACCCTTGGGCGTTTGGTCTCCCCTGCCGAGGGCATCTATCTGGTTGAGTTTTTATTTATTTATGTATTTTTTATGTATTTATTTATTTTATTGATATAATTTATATCTTTCGTTTACAATTATATATTTAAACAGCCCAACCAGATGAGAAAATTTTATAGATAACCCAGATAATAATAATGTTGTCCGGACCAAATTTTAGTCACGGTGGCCAGTCTCATCGTAGACTAGCCTAGGACAAGATTTTAGTGCTGTATCTATTCCTTCTCTCTCATAGTCCGTTGGAACGGTAATTCGATACGACTGGAGAAAGTTCAGGCACAGACCAACTGTTTTACGTTCTTCCCGAGGTACGGGGTTGAATCACCGCCAACTTCCTGAATACGGGCTAACTGATTTTGACCTGACCTGGTATTCGAACCCGGGACCTCATGATCAGCAATAGCGTTTACGAACGCTAGACCAACTAGGCAGTTAAATGTTTAGTTATTAGTTAAGAGGTAATTTTATTACTACTGGTCATGACGATGAACTATGCCATGATCATCTACTTCGAAGTGTTGTAATTGAGCTGAGCTGAAATTATAGTGCTTATCTGAATCTAAAAACAACTTCTTCCCGTAGCCTTCATTTTGTGTCAGGGTTGCCATGCAATCATTTCCGAAAAAAAAAGAAGCTTGAAAAAAAGTCGAAACTTTTTTTTTTTTGTTTCTCTAAGAACTTTTCAGGCATAACCAAATCTCTACAACGGTTGACGGAATACAAGCAGGCGTTTGGTTTGAGATGCGGACTGTGAAAGTTCTTTCAACAATCTAAAGAAACGGTTGTGTGATATTAGGCATACGAAAGATGGAAGGTTTATTGTGGACACATTTGCTAGTAATATAGGAATGGGTGGAGTGCTATCACAAATACAAGGTGATCCATAAGTTCTGATCGCATATTTCAGCAAGACGCTTTCTAAGCAGGAATAAAACTAGTGTGTTACACATGTCAGGAGTAGCTAACTGTTGTAAAGACCTTGCAGCATATTCATGATGGAGTTTCGGGTGATGATCTTCGAGTAAAGAAAAGCCTCATAAAAGTACGACAGCACTTCACTGGGTGCATTGCCGTGAAGATGTTGAAGAATAGTGCGGCTTGCAGTGGCTCGACGTGTGGGCGAAGAGGTAGTAGCTCGCGGGCCGCAATGCGGTGAATCCACGTATCTCGGTTATCGTGGCAGAAGTTCACACGACCGGTGTAGGGTCCAGATGGTTAGATTTAGTGCGTGTTACTTCGCTACTGATGGCGCGTTGAAGTGAATGTGCAATATTTAACTAGCTCGGGTGATGCCGAATTTCGCACGCGCGCGCCGGGTAGATATACGGTCCAGGATTCGAACCGCGCATTCCTTGTTCGAGAGCGTCTCCCGGTTGCTTGTCTGGAAATCATTATAATTGTGCTGTCGCGTTAAGTGCCCTTTTTTGTGTGTTGGATGGTTTGTTAGTTTTACGTCTCAACGAGGCGTATTTTGAATTCTTATCGCGGAGTGGTGTTTTGGTATCGAACGAAGGAACTTAGTTGTCTTTAACGCTGAACCGTGTGACTCATGAAGAGATCGCGTTAGTTCCCTATTTATAATTTTGTGATAAGTGAATCCGGGACATTGAATTTCGAACTTTGAACTACAGTCCGTACTGTGTCGGGTATCACGTGTTCGATTCTACGATGAATGTGGAATTAGGCGAGTTTAAGTTAGTTAAACGTACAATGAAGTTAATAGACTGAAATAGTGACAATGAAGAAAGAAATGGTCCAGCGGTGGGGCAAACTGGAGCGATGCAGAACTGTGGGGCAGCCAGGAACTCGGCCGCTGCTGGCCTCCTAAGCTGGTCCAGGTCTCAGACACATACACATCACTAAACACTACTTGCCATGCACCTTACACCCACTTACGGCCTGACCGAGCCTTGGGGCGATCTTAGAGTCGGAAACAGGTACGTACTATATTTTCCTAGCATTCTCCCATATAGTTTAGTATGACAGGAAATTCTTCCATTGGGCCCGACCCGCGTCTGCTCGTCGAGGAAGCTGCTATGGGCCCCACCCAAGACGACTTTGCAGTGGCAGCTGCGGGCCGTAACTGCCGGTCTATAAATCGTCACTAGTGCTGTCGTCTGCATAGCAATGAATGTTACCAGCTTGCAACATATCATTGATATGCAAAAGAAACAGCGTTGGTGATAGCACGCAGCCTTGTGGAACACCAGCGTTAGTAGGCTTGAAATCAAAGCATGCACCGTCTACTACGACCTTGCTGCTTCGATCAGCAAGGAAACTGGTGATCCAGTTGCACAATTTTTCGGGAAGCTCATAGGAAGGGAGATTCGAAAGAATCACTTTGTGCCAGGCCTTCGGTGTGCCCAAACTAACGGCAAATCCTCCCCCCTTGGACTCTATTGCCTCCGCCCATCTATGAGTCAGGTAGACCAGGAGGTGATCACTAGCTGATCGACCCCGATGAAAACCGTATTGGCAGTCACTAATCAGCTGGTGATCCTCAAGGTAATTCATGAGCTGACAGTTTATAATAGACTCCATTATTTTGGAGAACAAGGAGGTGATGGCGATTGGCCTGTAGTTGAACGGGTCTAGGCGGTCGCCTTTTTTAGGGATCGGACGTACCATAGCTATCTTTCTTGAATTCAGGACTACGCCTTGGCAGTAGGAGTACCGAAAAAGACGCTTTAAAACCGGTGCTAACTTTACTTGCTGACGTCCAGGAAGAAGAGTGCTTTCCGAACCGTGCGCTGTGTAAACCGCACATCCAGCATGGAGCACTCACACCGCTGCGTGGCAGGCGTTGTGTTCCCCTCGTCATCTAAAGTCGAGTTGGAAGCAAAGAGAGAGCCTAACAGATCGGTTTTCTCTTTGCGGCATGGGCCAATGAGTCGTCTTCTCAGTGTAGAGATGAAAGAGATGGCTGACAGAAGTTCCCTTGGACAGCCTTGGCCAGAGACCAGAACGCAATGAATTCCTACAAGTTTACTTACTTAAATTATTAAGTTTACATTCATGTATAAGTGGAATGTTAAAATATAATTCTGTATTCAATTATTTAAATTTTTTGTATGTAAATTTTATTATATTTATTTATTGTATTTTTGTAATTATTAAAAGTAATGCTTAAATATGAAAAAATAAAGCAGCCATGATGTATTCCGTGTCCCCGTTTTTTATTTCAGCAGCAGAACATTTTATAAAATATATAAAATATAAATTGGTATGTACCTAATTAAGTATCTACCTATTTATTTTTAATAAACATTATGTTAAAAAAATTTCGGGGAAACTGTCCATGGCAGTAATTTTTTTTTAAAGTAAGCATAGTCTCGAAAATACAACTTTGCGATCTGATTGTCGTGGAAAATTGTTTATGTACGAGTATATTCGGTAGACTCACGTCTTCAGAGACAGTTGGGATTTTGTACATTTTAAATTAAAAATCCAACAAAAGGCAGGTAGGTGCAGCTTATACCCGGGAACATGTTATGTGAATATTTTTTAATTATTTTAGAATATCATCTTAAAAATCCAAATATTTCAAATTTTTGAAGTTAGTCATTTTTGTGCACTATACTATATTTCTAAATCTATTTAACGTTTTATTAACAACCATTCTTTGATAGTTCTTGCATAAGTAACATGTATATCAATAGCACACACAATAACAAATCAAAATTTGTCATGCGTTTTCGGGCTATCGGGTCGCCTATACGCTTATATGTTTTACTGATATGCTTCTCCTCAATGACAGTCGTTATATTTTTGATCAATGTTCTGAAATGGCACGCTGGCACGTTCCTGTAAAGACTTAACAACAGTAGACTTAAAAAAAACACAGAATACTTATAAATTGTATATTTATAAATCAAATATAATAACAATAAATGTATATTGTATAAAAAATCTGGGTTTATAATTTCAATGAAGTTTTGTAAATACACATCATTATCCTCATAAAAGTAAACCATAATAAAAAATTATAAATATGTAAACTGGTTAAGAAGAAGGAGCCTATGCGAATCGCGAATGGCGATGATGGCAAAGGGAGTTAATTAAAAGGATAACTGGGTTGCAAGAAATTTGAGGAATAGATTTTTCTAATCCTCAAATTTCTTGTCGTCGTGCTTTAACCGAATAACAGAGCTCGCATACTATCAGCAGCTCAGACTGACTATATAGAGAACAGCAAAAATACTACGTAAACAATCCAGAGCTCTCAAATACAATGTTTTTGATAATTTCTTCGCACTCACTTTATCTTGCACCATTATAATTCTGGCTCTACATCTAGTTCAATCCTCCAACGACCACTCATCAATAACTTTATATAGACTGTGTTGGACGGATGGACGGACGGATTTGCTAATTTTTATAATTTGAGTGGTTGTCAGCTATCAGATAAAAATTATAGCGATGGGCGGTTCCAAGATGTTTTAAGTCGATGGTTTCATTGTAAGTGTATTTCCATGGTCCTCGATGATGTTTTCTTAGTCGACTTACTTAACGGTTACGAATGCAACATCTCGAACTTAGCCCGTTGAGTGAGTCCGATGCTAAATCTAAAGGAAAGAATAGCAGTCGCCGTTAACGAGTGCAAATGCTATTACTATAAACAAATACTATTAAAAACAAATACAAATACTATTACTATCGAATCTAGAATATACCAGAAGTCTTAGGTCCTACAATACTTTTGAAAATTTACACGCAAATTCACAATGCGTGTGATGAAATGCCTACATACCAAATACGCAACACGCAAGTCGGCTTACAGCATATTACACAAATACTCTGGGGCTTACTGTGATTCTTTCCGTTGTTTAAATATCTCGGACTCGCCCAACGATAACTAAAATGTACCCTTGTAATCACATATAAAATTGTTATCGATTGTACTATTGTTAATGTGTCTAATTTATACAAATTAATATAATACTTAACGTTTCTAGTCCAAGTCAGTAATTATTAAACTAACTAAGTGAAAAATAACCCTGTCGTAAAATCAAAATATTATGAGCGCATTGATAAAAAAAAATATGTACATACCCGCTTAGTAAAAATTAAATTAATAATATCAATTTCTGATCAAATATTATCAGTATGGCTAATCCTATGTACCTAATATAAAACATTGGACATTTTTATCAATTGTTTTGTTTGACATTAGTCTTCCTATAATCTTTATATAAGATGTACCCATGGGCAGTGATTGTAATTTTACCTTAACATATGTTTTAGTTGCGTTCACTGTCATAAGGTCCAAATTACCCGAGAGCCAATATAATGTAAGCATTATAACTGTTGGTCCCATAATTAAATATCTTCTTCATCATCCTCTAATATGTCAGGTGCTATGCATGGGTCTCTTGTATTCTAAGAAGTATATAATTTTTTTTATAAAACTGAAGTGACAGTAATTTACAGTACACCTGTTGCTAAGTGGCCACTGCAGTCAATGGACATCTAATTAAGAATGCTGCACATGCGTTGTCACCCCTGAGATACCTTAATCGCTATTTTTGTCAAAGACTTCTTTGTATACTGACTCTGCATTAGACCGGCAATTCAGAAGATGCGGGCGCTGGCTGGCCAATTAGCTGACACGGTAAATATGCCACGCAGTAGTGTTTTCAAGTTTAACAGTTACAGTTTTCAGGCACATACGAAATAAAGTTACATAATAATCTGAAAAAATAATTCAAATAACGTTGACAAAGTGCACATAAATAATAACAACGTAATCTTAGCCACATTAAACAAAATCAGCGTTAGATTGTCTGATGCAGAATTGAAAACAACGTACGCGGTTTACCACAAACTAACAAGAAGTGCTAGCATGGCGGCTTCTTCTTGTTTTAAATTATGGCTTCTTTTGATAGAATTCTGCCAGTGTCAAGTCAGTAGCATGGCGGCTTACAAAACAAAGAATTAGTCTTCTCGCTTTCAACTAAAAAAAATACGCAGAATTGACCGTTACTAAGTAGCTAAGTGCGCAATGTACAGTACAGTAATGTACCGTAATGTGCGTATAGTAGTACACATAAGTCTTTGCTTTTGGCTAGTGGATTGGTGTTAATAGTACCATATGCATCTCACCTTTGATGCAGCTCCCCATTGTGGGTCTGGTGTTTTACGTGTGATGTTAACGAGATGGTATTACACTGCTATCTGTTATAAGCCATGACATCTTTCTGGTATTTACCATAATCGCCTTTTAATACACTTACATGACGGTACTGGGTGAAGGAAGGATCACGCGGCATTCGTAATTAAGCAAAATGAATATTAACAAAATCAAATTAAATACTTAACATATTACATAACTTATTAACAATACAACAAAGGCACTGATTGCATTACCCAATACTTAAAACTAATCGTAACTATTTTGTCTAATTTCATACACGCGCTGTAATACGCGAGTACGTTGTACTAACAATATACATTAGTAGTCTTAACGTTCCGTATACAAAATCACGCATGTATCTATTCTGTAGTATAAGCCGCAAGACCAGCAGTATTGTGAATATTATCGCTCCTTTGTGAAGGACGTACATTCTGAAATTAAAAAAAAAATTATTTAATATTACAAACGTATTCGACATTCCAAATAAATTTTTAAAATGTTATAGGGGCTACACACGTTCAGTTTTAAATGACAGTGAAAACTGAGTGTGTGTACGATGAAAACTGTCAGTTTTTTTTTATCATTAAAACTGATAATATTTGATGTATTTTTAAACTGAAATGACGGAATTGATCAGTTAAAACAGTGCGTGTGTAGGTCACATTATAGCCGTAAAATTGTTGCCATATATCAATGTTACATTCTCCTCACGACTAATGTAACAAGAGACTCGGGTTTGATAAGTGGTAGGACTCTTGTTCTGTCTAGGCGTTTGTCTGGTTCGGTACTACACTTACTTAGTTCTACCGCCAGTCAGTAGTGGATGCAGCGCGCACTGCTGTTTTCCGGTGTGAAGGGTATAGAGCGCCAGTATGATAATAGTCTGCGAGACATACTATCTTAGTTCACGGAGATGACACCGCTTCTTTAGCCTTATTCGTTTCAAGTCGGCTGCAGGTATCTACATGTCCATTGCAAGCATTTACCATTTACCATCAGGTGAACTGTTAATTCGTTAGTCGTTTTGAAACAAACTTTAGCAACGGTTAAACAATTTGAAGCCAGGATAGCGACTCGAATTCTAATCACTGGTCAGCAAGTTAGGAAATAAGCCATTCGCTAACTTTGATAATCAGTGAAAGAACCTTTAGCCGCCATAATTAAGTTCTAATATTTTGTTATATACATGGGGGGTTTTTCATGGACTGTCAGCCCTGTAAAATGGGTCGTTCAGGAAATCGTTTTTTACTCGTAATTAAAGAAACATCGTGATAAGAAAATGACAAATTCCACATTTACCTGCGTAAATGGCGTTTCGCATCATCCAAATCTTGATCCTTTTCTTTGAATATATACCTCCTGGTACCAAAGACAAAGTTTTTGAAGAGATACTGCCAACTGTAAAATGGATAATATAATGTAATGTAAATAAAAGCTCTTTTTTGATTGCACAGTAAATAATATTTTGTTTTTTATTCAATATTGATTATTACATAATACTAATTGAAAGCATGTTTTATTTACCACTGGTTCGGAAAATACCTCTGTCCTGGGAAGAACCAGCGGGACTTTTTTGTTTATACAATTTTAAATGAATTTTCATAGAACTGGCATGGTTCCTTCACCTTATTTCCAGGGGGTTATTTTCATGCATGTAAGGAATACATGGATGGAATACATGAAAGGGTTATTATAATATCAAGGATGATATTATAATAACCCTTTTTTGTACAGTTTTTCTTTAATAAAACTTTTAAACTTGTTTATTGACAAACTTTGTACATGTTCTGGGATTTTGTTGTAAAACCGTATACAACATCTAACGTAATTAACGCACATCCTCAGACACCCCAATCAGTATATTATGTTATAATCATAATACATACACTGAATTCTTAGTTAAAAATGTTTAAACATTGATTATTTATTAAATTAGTTATACTAATTCCGGAAGAATGTTGTCGTCACCGTACAAAACCACGAACGCTAGGTATAGGTCTTGCTAGCCTAGTAGGTATTCGCTTGCGTTCGAGACGAGTTTACGCCGCCGCCGCTTGACACGAATGTAGGTAGGTATTAGTGCCGAAAAAAGCCGACAATACATGATTAGTTACGTTAAAGAAATACCTACCTATGAACATTAACAGATGTCATAACTCCGTGCATTGAGTTGTTTATTTAAGTCTAGTAAACATTTGATTGCATCTTTCAATCACACTTTTCAGTCTTTGGTCTTTCGACTCTGAATAATTTTGTTTATTGATTATGATACAAGTCAATAGGCAATATTCGTTACAAAATGTTATGAATTTGCATAACATTTTAATTGTAATTGTAAATAATAATGAACTGCTAAAATTAAGAGTCAATAAAGACGGCGTGTTTAAAAGATGTGGATCAAGATTACAATAATTTTAAGAATAAAATATTTCAATTACTGATAGCCTAAGCTCTCATGCAACGTTGTATTTTAATACATTTTCAAAATGTCCGCCACGGCTCCGTGGCGCAGTGGCTTAGCAATTAAGTTGCAGCGCTAAGGATAGCGGGTTCGAATCCCGCACGGAACAATATTTGTATGGCCTTCAAATAATTGATCCAGGTCTGGATGTTTGTCCTTGTGCAATTTATGTTTGTACACTGTCCCCACAATACAAGAGAAAATCCTAGTGTGGAGGTTACGTTTTAAAAAAGAAAGAAAATAATTTAGAAAGCAATTCAGTATAATTTTTCACTATTCTAAAAGCGTTTACTATCCTTAATTTGGGTCCTCGGCAATTGTTGTCTAAATAAAATAAACTAATGATTTAATAGGTCCCAATAAAAAAAGTCAAGAGGCGTCAAATCAGCTGATCTGGGAGGTCAATGGCCTGGCCGCCGCGACCTTTATAATGCACTCCAAACTCTGTATTTGTAAAGACTTTAACATACTTGAAATAAGGTTAAATTTTCTTTATTTTGTATTGAATGACGAAATTTGTATTAATACAAATAAAACCGCACTTTTAAAAGTCTTATTGCCTTGAGTTACGGTACATTTCAGTTTGTTTTGACTGTACAGGTTTAGTGTGACTCTAAATTACGTAGTTTCAATTATTTTTTTGGATAAAAAAATTACCTATATTAAAAATGATAGAAATCGATTCAGTAAACGATTCTGAACAAACTACTTTCACAAAGTGCGTTAATTATGTTATTGCCCCATAAATGAATTACTAATTCTGTGGAGTCTAGTAATTGGCATTACAATTGGCATTATTCTTATTACAGCTATTTATGTTTTTATGTACATACATTACATTTTCATAAATATATTGCGATGCCAAAGTAAATATGTTTATTTCATAAATTTTTTGTCTGAGGGACTCTTTACAATTTAGGTTATAAAAAAATAACCTATAAACAAGTTAAGATTGTTTTGCGCCTCTCTCACTATTCGGCGTATTGGCCATTGCAGTAAGAGATGCCTCGCGTTTTGACACTATGATTCTCTTTCGCAGGTCTAGGTTTTTTGCTTGGCATTAAATTAAAGAGGGTTATACTGTCATCTATCGGATGCCATTAGATCTTTCTGTTCTATGGTCGCTTCTTATGACACCAAAGAAAGGAAAACTCCGTCAAAAGACAGCAAATTTTTATTTACGTATATACTCGTAATGATACCCATAAATCTATACATATAATAAAACTGTAAATAGCAGATGTCTGTACATTTTATATTTTTGTAATAAAAGTGATTAAGGGGTACTAAAAATAAGTAATTAAATACATTTCTACCATTTTTAGAATTTTCTGTCTGTCTGTCTGTCTGTCTGTTTGTTTGTTAACGTATCACGTATAAAGTACTAATTTATATCATAAGAATTGTTAAGGAAATTATAAAGTGTATCTTCGGGTTACATTTAGTCTTTATTTCATTAAAATCAGTTCATTCTATCAAAAGTTATGATAAATATTCTGAAGTATGGGTAGGGAACTATAGGTACGAATTTGCTAAACGGTGGCTTTGTTCGAGTCATCAAATGCATTTTAAACTAATATCATATCATAAATCATAGTTAAATTATGTAAAATAATGATATAATTATGTATATCTAAAACGCAGTAAACAAAAGTAATAAAGAACGTATTAAATAAATTATACAAAAATATATTAACCTTATTAACTAAATCTGAAGCACAATAGTTAACCCATTTCTTCGATAGATGGTGGTGTTGTGAAAATGTAATGCAATTGCAAATGTGGTTTTTTCGTGTATATGAGTTTTCATATTTACTGCTAATCTTTATTATATTACTCGCTGCCCTACTGTGTGTTGACAAACTCAATTTATTCTTTACCGCCGAGTACTCTATGTGGTAAATCAAATTTTAAAAGAGCTATTAACAATTGCATTGGTTTTGGCGAGAGTCAAACTTTATTTTTTGCTTACTGTGCAGGCATTGATTTATAAGTTCTCTTACGTTTTATATAATGTATCAATCGCGTCAATTAATCTCTTTTATTTTTAGAATTGATGATGTTAGCAGCGCCATCTCTCTTTAAATATAAACATATAATAAAAATGATGATAACATGTTGTGTCTCTTTCTGTACCTACATTGTATATATATTTTGGTGGCTAAAATCATTATGGGGAACTGAAAATAATTAAATAAGAACATTTTATAATTTTTAGAATTGTCTGTCTGTCTATTTGTCGCATGAACGCATCACGTCTAAAGTAAACATCTTTTATTTTCAAAGAAATCGTTAAGAATATCATAAAGCGTATCTTCGAGTTACATTTAATCTTTGTTTTATTAAAATTGGTTAATTCTATCGAAAGTAATTTTTGAAAACATTAATTTTGAAATGTAGGTTCGAATTTGTTCAATGGTGCCATAAAATCTCAGAAATAGAAATAAAAAGATTTCTGTGTAAAAAAAACGTTCCATAATAATTAATATATTTATACTTAAAACACAAAAAGAGATAGGATGTTTTCTCACACAAAGGACGTAATAGATGGAGTTGTACAAATTACAAACTTTTCTGAATTGCGGTGTTGAGATTTTTCGTTGAGATGAATCGTATTGAGACTTACTGAAGAAATTTGTATCTATCGAAGCCATACAACGGAACCCGACCAAAAATAAAAATTTTGCAACGAAATGTCGTGATATTGTATTTAAAATATACGCAAAATCAGAACTGCCATGTTAGCGCTTTGGGAACTAGATTTAGCACTTTTTTGGAATGTATAGCGCGCATTTCGAAATTTTAGCACCTAGCGCTTAATCCAGCGCTTTTTGGTGTATTTAGCACACATTTCAATATTTTAGCGACTAGCGGGTTATTAACTCTTTTATAGCAGCACTGTTAGTCCACATTACCGATAATAATAATAATGACCTTTATTATTTTTTCCCACAAATAGTACATTGCAGTTTATCTTTTTCAAACATATTTTTTCCAAAAAACAAAGAGCATGGGAGACGAGTCCAAACTAGGATACCCTGTGCTATGGATCTCCTGGCTTCCCCTTTAGGATGATCAACTTGATTTTTTTACCGACGACTATAAGCGGGGAAATTCCCTTTATTAAAGTTTTCGTTCATGGTTTTGGCAACGCATTTATTTTGCTTTATTCAGTTTCAGTCAGTTGTTTAGAGCACAGCTAAGTTAAAAGTTACTTAGAAGTTATAACACAAAGAAACTGTGTAGCAACCGCAATCAGATGCTGACATCTGAAACTAAGTTGCGAAATACTTACATTGCACTTTAAAACAATTAATGACATTTTTATTGTTCGTACAATACTAACTACTGTTGACAGCAATTGCTATAATTATAAGTCGATGTCCTGCGAAGTATTGATACATCAAAAATATATTGCCAGAAAAAAAACTTAATGTTGTTTTCTTTATTATGATTATATAAAAAAACACAAACTTTGTTTGTAGTTAATTTAGCGCGAAAACTAGGGCTTTTTTAAAGTGCTGTTTTCATGAAATCTAGCGCTTTTTGTGTTGTCCTAGAGCTGAATGAGTTTTTTTTTTATCTAGCAGCACTGTCCAAAAACCCTCTATTAAGAAGTAACTTCTTTCAGTTTTAAGCGCGTTCAGTTCCCAGTTACAGTGAGTGTGTGTTATGCGATGACCGTAAATAAAGCGCAAGGTCAAACTTTACGCGTTGTAGGAGTGTACCTCAGTACCACAGAACACCTAATATCTATATTAAGTGTTCTGTGCTCAGTACTGACTGTTTTGCACATGGCCAACTCTATGTTGCTTTTTCCCGCGTTAGTAGCCCCCGTAACCTTTTTGTGTATACCCCGGCTAAGCCTACTTCTAACGTCGTTTACACAGAAGCTCTATCATAAACGACTTAGAACTTTGATGATAATGATTTATTTTGTTACCACTTATTGATACTGTAATGAAATAAATCGTTTAATATTCTCTTACCTAAACGACAAATTCTTTATGTAAAACCTGTATACGCGAGCTACGCCGCGGGCACAGCTAGTAATGAAATAATGGTATGGACTTTATTTAAGTATCGCGAAAATTTATAGTTTCATAGTAACCCAAGTTTGATCCTTACCAGCATCAATGAAATTATTGATCACAGTTTTAAGTGTTCGGAGGATAGAAGAGAACATCAAGGAAAAAATCGTGAGGAAATCTGCAACTCTGAGGAATAAAATTATGTAGAGGACTTGTAAAATCCGCCACCACGTCACGCAGGACTAGCCATATCTATGGCTTCGACTGAAATGCAAAGTATAATCTTTTCTTTAGACTTAATAGTCTGACAGGTTACTTACTCGATAGTCTTCGGGTCCAAGTTGTATATAGCTCTGTCTTCGGGCGTCATGCGAGCGTTGAGTCGACGTACGTTGTCGGTACTGAAGCGCCATTCGTTAAGGGCGAAGAATCTCAGAACGTCGTTCATAGCCCGTATTTTCTGACTCGCTGTTATAAGGTTTACTCTAAGGAATAAAAATAATAATAAGATAGTAGCCTATATAGTATAGTATAGGTAGTAGCCTAGTACCCATTAAGCCAGTCGTACTCAAAGTGTGCTCCGCAAAGTCTCTGAACGGGATTTGCCGAAATAATATTGGCCCAAACCACATCAAATTTTGTCACATAATGAGGCGACATGCAGCATGTTAAATCTAGAAAAGATGAAGGAATGGTGAGTACAATTCCTTCCTCTTTTGATGAAAATCCTAGTGGATTAAAAACTACAAACATAAGAATATAACTTTTACGCGTAGGTAATATCTCACCGTCCGAATAGTTAAAGACCCGCAAAAAAACTTAGTGTTTCGGGTTCCGTCGCCAAAAAAGATTGAATACCACTGCTTTAAGCAATTAGTTCTTATATAAATATAAACAAATAAATAAAATTGATGTGTCTGTTTGTAATGTCAAAACAACAGCGTTTCAATAAATGCACGAAAATATTAATGTAGGTACTTATAACAAAAACACAATTATGAAAATTTTATCTGTCTGTCTGTTTGTTCCGGCTAATCTCCGAAATGGCTGGAACGAATTTGACGACACTGTATTTGTATATTTTTTCTTTGCTTCTTTGCCTCCGCCGTTATAATGTATCAAGGTCGCTTGAGGTCACTCAGCGAGCTATGAGAGCTATGGTCGGAGTTTCTCTGCGTAATAAAATAGGAAAAATGAAGATTTCTGCAGTAGAACCAGAGTAACCGACATGGCCAAACGGATCAGTAAGCTGATGTGACAATGGGCCGCCCATATAGCTCGAAGAATCGGCAACCGATGAGTAAGAAAGGTTCTCTAGTTACAGCCTCGTAACGGTCGGCCCTCACTAGATGACGGTCGAAATGGTAAGAAATGCAGGAAGTCGATCGATGCAAGTGGCTTAGGACCGTGCTTCGTGGCATTCCTTGGGGGAGGCTTACACCAACAGTTGACTTATAAGTAGGTTTAATAACAATAATTTATCAAATATCTATCAGATCGTAATTCTTAATTCGTGATTGATGATATTTCATCAATCAACGACATTTTTGCAAATATTATTTTTATTCTCTACTTCTAGTGACTGCGAATTCTTGTAAAGCTGAGTAATTTGGTAAAATAATCGTTTTGACACACTTGAGTAAAGAAACAGTACAGAAAATACGGATTGTCTCCGTTTACCGTGTTGAGTGGCGGCGGTGACCGAAATTCAGTCCCATTATCCGCGTATCCCATTATGGCTCCGTGGCGCAGTGGCTTAGCAATGAGTTGTTGCGCTGGGGGCCGCGGGTTCGAATCTCGCACGGAACAAGTATTTGTATGGCCTACAAATAATTGTTCCGGGTCTGGATGTTTGTCCTTGTGCAATTTATGTTTGTAAACTGCCTCCACGACACAGGAGAAAATCCTAGTGTGGGGGTGACGTTATTTAAAAAAAAAAAAGAATAAAAAAAAAGAATTATAAAATTACTAGCACATTAAACTATAAGCCAATTATGAAACAAGTAGGATGCGGGAAGTAAAGACTGTGTAAGAACCTCCGAAGGAGGCGGAGTTATAGCTGAAGTAAGAATTTTTAATTTTTTGGTTTTTGGCCATTTTGAGTACATTATGCCCCTAATCAACCATGACCCCCATGACTTCCTCTACATTATAGGCTATTCAAACTGACTAGACCTAAAGTTCGAGTCACCCCCCAACTCATTTCTAGTCTTTACTTCCAATTACTTCCAAAGAGTAACAAAATTTATTATCTACTAGCCCCGCCCCGGCTTCGCCTGAAAGAGGATCTATCAATTATAATCAAAAGACCATTTATTTTATGTATTTTACGTTTTTCTTTATAAAGCAAAAATCATTATACCTGACAGATAAAGTACAGCCTAGATCCCACCCGGCGTTGCTCCCTATCTGTTCGTAAAGTTTCATCACAATCGGTTTAGTCGTTCCGAAAATTAATGCGGAGAGAGAGACATTCAATATTACAGACAGACGCTTCAATATTATTTGTAAGTAAAGATACAGTTGGTTTCCATCTTATGATATTAAATTTATTCAGAGTTGACGTGGGATCAATTACACATCTTGTTTTGCTATGGGCGGCACTCTTGAACTATTGTCGATTCTTAATACTGATTTATTGTAAGCCGTGATATTATACATAGGACCGTGATATTGCAGTTCAATAAATAATATATAATGAATTATTAAAGCCATTACGAATGAACCACAATACGAATAATGTTCCAGCAAGCAAGTGTTAATAAACTGTAGACCAGTCTCAACAGAGACTAGCCATCTGCGCAGGACAGATGTTCATGGGCGGCGGTGATAACTTACCATCAGATGAGCCGTATGCTCGATAACTTCCACAAAAAAAAAACAGGATCATAGTGTGAGCGAGCACGTGTGTACTCTATATTCTACTGGGTTACTCTATATTCCCACACTCGACCTCTGAGTTAACTAGAGATCAGGCGCAGGACTACCGACCTTACGTGTTTTCCCGAAGCTTGGAGATGAAACAGCACCAAGTTTCTGGGTTGCTACTGACAATTTTTGACAGAAGAACCCAAAATAACTGATTTTGACCCGACGCGAGGTTCGAATCTGTAACCACATGTTCTGCAGACGCGCTTAAGAGCTGACGATATGGACGATTGGTCGAAGGGGTTCCGTTGTGTTTCAATCAAACCAGATCAATAAACATTTTACTCACTGTGTCTTAATTCTAAACAGGCGCAATATGTACTCTGTTACGTGTAGAGGTAGGGTCTGCAAAACGAATTCCAAGATCTTCTGCGTGTATCTGAAAAAAAAAATAGTACTTATAATTATTTATATGCGTTATGTGAATTTAAAGGGCATATTGAAAAGTTAAACCAGGTAATCGTTGATAATATTTACACTAAATAAAATATTTGTTGCAGTTTCAGTTTTAATTTTAGTTTTTAATGTCAAACTGATTTTTGCGAAGCTTAGTTTTTTATTTTTTAATGAAATAAATTAATTATTAAAGTGTTTTGCTAACCCGTAATTTAGGTAAACATGAAAATAGGTACTGCGGATTGTAGTGGTCGAGTGTGTGCACAAACATAGGTGCACTCTCTATTCTATTTCTTCACTCTCATAGCCCAATGAGACTGCAATCCGATATGACCCGAGAGTTACGTGCTTTCTGAGGCACGGGGTGAAACACCACCAATTACCTGACTCCGAGTTGCTACTGAGAATTTCTTGGCTGTTTCGTCCCAACCCAGGGTTCGAACTGGGTACCAACATGATAAGCATTCGCATTTACGACCACTGTACCAATAGTGCAATCAAATTGTTTAAAAAAAATGAAGTTTGAGCATTTCATGATGCTGTAGTTCATTGTATTCGAGAAAGGTCTGCAACAATTCTGAAGAATAATTATCTTTCCTTACTGCCAATTCAAATCAAAGTTATTTCGTAGTACCGTACCTGCCTTCGACACCCGTGCCAGAAGGGTACCAAAAGGCGCCATCTGGTGGATATTGGGGTAAGTAGACTCGTATCGCCTTTTCAAAATTGCCCCATGTTGTTGGATTTTCGTACGTGCTGCAGTTGTATACCCGTACTTCTTTTGACCTGTGGGTCGATTTATTTCATCAACAGCTTTATTTAATTTTTTATCACGTTTTTATTATAAGTCACTTTCTTGTTTGTCTGTCGGTCCGGGTGGAATTTAGTAATTGATTTTATACTAACTTCCTGATGAGCTGTATAAACTTGAAATTTTGAATATAGCTCAAATTCGGATGACAATGCAAGAATATGCTAATAAAAACATGCTAAATCTTTTTTCATTTACATTTAAAAAAATCATTTGTGTATAACTATTTTATGCTAGTGTTTACTATTCTACGTGTTGATAAGACAGTCTGAATAGAATGTATACCAGCGTGAAGTGATAGCTTATGTTGCTGTATGTTGATGTAGAGAACTGGAGACCCTTTTAACTGGTAAAGAGGCATTCCATCTTAGTCCTCAGGGCTGACAACGCATCTGCATTTTGATTCATAATCGAGGATAAATCTAGATGTCTATGGGCCACAGAATACGCTTAGCAGTGGACCGTTGGGGGATAATGAAGAAGAGGAAAAAGAGAAGATGCTTACACTTTTGCCGTTTTTACCGATACACAATAGAGTCCAAACAAGGTATTTACTCAAAGAAGCAAGGAGTAAATCTCCGAATTGTATTATAGAATATATATACATATATAGTTGTTTTTCCTTTAGGAAATTTTCTAGCGCTATTTATGTTTCTTTTGAGGGTCGGTTCATATACATCATTGTGGAGCAGCGTCAGCGTGTACAGGGTAAAAGAGTTCTAACTTTATCACTTCATGGGATCTTCAAAATTGGAAGAAGAAACTTACTTGTCAATAGCCGTCTCCCAAGCGGCAGCGATCAGCGTGTCGATGGCGATGTCGACAGGCAGCATGTCGGCTCTTGCCGAGTCCTTCACGGAGAACACATGGAGCAAACCTTTCCCTGCAGCGGCTATGATACCACTCGGGCCGTTTAGGTTCTCTATCCAACCTGGGAATGGGTGCTGATACGAAGAAACGACTGCCAACAAAAAATTAAATGTTTAACATAGCAGAAAAATTATTGAAAAAAAAAAACATATTCATTCATTTCGTAAAATATCTCATAGTTATTTTTTTTGAGAGCGCATCCAGCGAGGCAACTTAAGCTTTCCAAAGTTTCTTTGGCAATATACCGCCGTCTTACCGTGGTATATTGCCGTATGATAATTGTAGTTTTTAGTTTTTTTATTTTTTTATATAAGAATTGTATTTTTATGGTATTTATATAAATGTATTTACATACATAATGTACTGAAATCGATTACGTTAAAGCTACAGTTTACTTGAGGATAACGTGATTAGTGTGACATAATATTATTTAACTGTTAACTAGTTGCCGTACCCGCAGTTAACGTAAATAAAACTTTAGTATTAAGTAATTGCTATATAACTTTAATACTACTACTAAACTAGCAATTGTTTACCTAACACACAGATGGGCGCAAGCGATCGAGTCCAAGGGGGAGGCTTTGACGGTTACTTTGGACATAGCGTAGGCCTTCAATCGAGTTTGGCACAAAGTGCTTCTTACAAAGCTTCCTTCCTATGGGCTTGCCGAGAAATTGTGAATGAATGAATATACTTTTATTGTATACCACAAACAAATATACAAATGACATAACAAAAATCAGATTATATTATGTACAATTTGGCGGCCTTATCGCTACATAGCGATCTCTTCCAGGCAACCAAAGGTGTTAAGGAATAAAACAATGAATAGGTAGGTGGTAGGTGGTGCAATATAAATATATAATATATAATACCAATACTTGCGATTTATTAATAATAAATGCAAAAAAATAACATATAAATAACTAATACATGAAATAATATAAATTACTAACATATAATAAAAGATAAAGTAAAACATATAATATATACATATACATACATATATATAAATATATAACAAACTTACATATAACTACCCAAAAATACATATATAAATATAAAGCTGATAGATACAATAAATACATAGTCACACAATTTATCCTAACGGTGTCCGAACGATTCAGACAAGTAATGCTCTTTAAGTAGTCGCTTAAAGATAACAATAGTTTGTGCTTCACGTATATGCAAAGGTAGGGCATTCCGGAGCTTAAAAGACTAGACAGTAAAAGATTTATTAAAAAATGATGTATTGTGAGTTGGAACATTTAAAATTAATTTTCTTGAAGAGCGTAAATTTTAACGAGGTGTCGTGAGATTTGTCTTAGTTGTGGAAGTGACATACGGTATAAAATTTTTCGCTTTCAGTAAACTTTTTTACGCTTTCGGGTTTTATTAATTACTGTTTTAACCTTTAAGATTATTGTTAACCTTGTAGGCAGGAGGGAAGTTTATGTCAAATATCTAGGGGCCCTGGGCGCGTTCACTAAAATTTTATATGAGTGTTTGGTTTCTGAACTGTAATGATAAATTTACAACGAGCGAAATGAGATGAGGTCTGTGCCTAGCTGTGGGGCATGTATAGGCTGCCACTTTTATTTATTTTCGCGTAACCAACCGGGTCGTAAGTACTGTTTCATTTGCTCTATCAACGACACAGAGACCCTGAGCCGTCACAGGATGATGAGGCCTCTAAAAATTTTGGTGGAGGCCCCACTAGGGCTGACTATCTACTGGTGACTTACCTATTGTCGGACGGAAGATGGCAATGGGGTATTTTTGATAGCCGTGCTCTCGCACAGCCTCCTCAGCCATCGCCTTCGTGAACGTGTAAGTATTGGTTTTGGGGGAAATGTACCTAAAATTACAAAGTTAGTTATTGTTTTACAGTATGAATTTAGATACGATCAATATAATATAACTCAAAAACTACTGATCAGATCCTGATAAAATTTATATGGCACCACATGAGAAGCACCAGCTGTCAAATAAAAAAACGAATCATTAAAATCAGTTCACCTAGAAAAGTGTTCTGCGGTAACACACATAAAAGAAATTGAATTGAGAACCTCTTTCTTTTTTTGAAGTCGGTTAAAAATGAAGGAACAAATGGATTTAAATAAATAATCAGCACGTAAACAATCTTTTGACTAGAGCAGGAATGTTCTTAATAAGAACTTAATCGGTGAAGGGTTCAAACCTGCGCCCCCAAACCCCCGAATCCCAGAGCGTCTCAGCCAAACGTTTAGCGATTATGCTTCTGAGGAATATTTAAATTTGTAATTCACAATTCCAGTGATGCCGGCAAGAAGAATCGAATTTTTCTTGTATGAGTGCCGCCTTGCTCCTATAATACTATCGTAGGTATCGTTTTTGCATACCTTGTATTAACATTAATAAGTATCTTCTTTCAGACCATTGGTGGACGTAATAGGAAATTCATCCATCCCTTTCTTTGTGGTCCTCCTGTGGGTGTCGTAATAGACGACTCTGAGAAATGCTAAAAAGAACTTATAATAGCATCAAAGTTAGGAGACCTCTGGTATTATTTTGTATTAAAAAGGGTGACAAACGAGCACACCGTCCACCTGATGTTAAGTGTTTACTGTTGTCCATAGATATACACATCTATCCTCGATTAAGAATTGAAATGCAGATGCGTTGTTACCCTCTGAATGCCTCGTTTTCAGTAAAAAGGGTATTCGGTTCTCTACATTCATCGTGCGAAACACAACAGTATTAAGCTGCTATTTCACGCTGGTATTCTGTGATAGCGTGGTCCTTTCACGGTCGAGCCGACTCATTCGTGCTATAACCATAATATCGCTGTATCAAGACTCTACTACGTCAAGACTGGTACTGCGGTCGTTAAACCACAAACGGGACTTTAACGGACGAATAAAGAGGAGGAAGGGTAAGAAAAAAGAACAACGACTCACTGCTGAGTAATATTCGGCAATAGATCTGGCGGTACTACTTCAAGCAAGGCCAGCAGCTGTTGAATTGACGTAGGTGGTTCGTACACTTTCTCTTCGATATGTGTTTTTTCAGAGTTGCTGTAGCCCGTTGATACGTGCATGAACACCTGAGCAAATTGCCAAAGAATAAAATAAAAATCAGAATAATATAATGTGATTTTTTTGTAAACATATTTAAATTTCATATAAATAATTTATTGTTATTTTGCTTTACCTCCGTGGTAAAGGAATATAAAAATAATTTCATTTATTGTTATTATCCTGTGCGAGCGTTGTACTTCCTCAATCGAGATGATCCATTCGGGCTGCAGCCGTAACACCACATAAATAATTTTTACGCTTTAATTGTTTGTCATCACTCAATCGAGTGGGGGCCGACCTTCGGTCGACACTTCGCTTACCAGTACGAGGCTGCCATTCGAGAACCTTTCTTCCCCGTCAGTTGTTAGATCTTCGAGCTATATGATGTTGCCACTTCAGCTTACCGATCCTGGTAAAAGATGCAGGAAGTCGACGATGACCGGGATTTGTGGCATTCCTTGGGGAAGGGCCTGTGTTCAGTAGTGGATTTGTGAATGGCTGTAATGATGATGATTGCTGATTATACAGACCTCAACGTTAGGTAGTTTATCGCAGAGTTCCATCATACGCATCACTGAGAGAACGTTTTGTTGTACAGCTGTTGGCAGCGGCTCGTCAAACTTCAACGTCGCCGCTGAATGGAACACCACCGACACCTGGATAGAGTTAGTTAAATTTAGATCTTTACTATAAGAAAACAATTTCTGTATATAGAATATTTTATTTTTTCAATTGGATTTGGGGTTTACTATATTATCGATACAGATGTAAAACATTTTTTTTTGGAAACGTTGTCTGTCTGTCTGTATGTCTGCACACGCATGACGCACAAACCTGCGAACGGATATGGATAAAACTTTCATTACAATGCTACGTAAGGGTTGACTGAAAATGCCTTTAGAATAAATATTTATCATCTCGCTATCTATTATAGGAGCTGGGCAGTAGGCATATTCTTCCATTTTGCAGCTATAAAAAGTTTTAAAATTTACATTATCATGTGATTGAAAAATTACATTATCCGATTTTAAGTTATTTTGACATTATTCCTATCCGTTATTACCTAAATATCGTAGTTTTTTTTTAGTGTAATAATCAACTAATTACTTTAATTTTACCTAGACGGTGCTATAGGTATTGTAAAGCTAGGTCTGGTTTTATTATAGCGAGTTATGATATAAGAGATATCTGTTATAGATGGTGCATTCAACGCAATGTGTTCATTAGATCAGTAAGTGTAACTTTCTTACGTTTATTCGACAAAGGAAATTCAAAGGAAAGTTGTTTCTTGCCCCTCATCTTTATATTACTCAATACTCACAGGCGAAATATCTCATATACCAATCTTAATTATCTTTGGATATATTAACTGTAAATTCGTTCTGTGTAGATTTTGTTCAATAGCACCTATCTTTTAAAAATGCAAAAATGCAAAAAAAGTGATCATATACATGATTTTTTTTCATAAAAAACATTTTGACATATTAAATGCTAGAATTACAACGAGGCAAGACATTAAAAGTAATGTGTAAAATAATTATTTAATGGGCCGATGTAAACAACCAAACCTTGAAAATGATGATTTAAGGTTCCTCTCAGAAATTAATTAAAAATTACAATAATCAATGTTCGTACTCCAAGACTTGCTATAGTTCAAAGGAATATTTTGATGACAATAAGTATATTATAATTGTTAGCGACAATATTTAACTATTTTGTTATACGATAATCCTATTTACATTTATTGTTTTCTGTAATAAATTTTGTAAGTAAATTTTACAAAAAAATTCATTATAGATAATAATAGAGTTCTATTAAAAAGTAAAGTCAGCCCATAATCGGACCACGGCTGATGGGCTGAGTCACGGCTGGTTGAAGGTATTCTCAAAATGTTATCCGTAGCTACGTAGCTTATTCACGTGACACTATTCCTCTGTTCGCTAATATTGATTTTCACTGTTTATGTGCCTACAGACTCATCTGACAATCTATTAAAATATGTTCAATGTTGAAGTGAAATTGCATCTACAGTTGAAAGTTGCAATATCGAAACCGCATATATTTTGGGAGATTTTAACGCTTACCCCGAGGAATTATTTGACAATGAACTTCTAGACTTCCGCAGTGAACAAAACTGGACATGTGTGGATATTCAAATGAATTCGAACAAAAGGTATAAATTCCAATACATACACTTTTGTTAGTGACGCGCACAGCAGCCATAGATGGCTTGATCACTGTGTTGTTACTGAGGCTGCACTAAGCAAGGTGCTATCGGTAAAAGTACATTATGGTGTTTACTGGTCTCATCACTGCCCACTATTTAGTGCAACATAAAATCAGTTTGTCAGGCTATTGAGCTGCAGTGGGCTAAAATAAATAAGGTTCTATGGGGGAAAGAGACCTAAGCCAAATAGAAATGTTTACTAATTATTGTAATGACAAACTGCGAAAGGTGTTCATCAAAACATGAGTTCGATCAGTGTGGCGATTTTTTATGTAGTAATAGTGAAGCGGCGCACTTGCCCGCGATAGACTCGCTTTACAGTGATATTGTAACAGCGTTGCAAGAGGCTGCTGTGGCCAGCTATGTTGGTCGTTCGGGAAGTGGCAAGCCACATCGCGGTCGTCCTATTGTAGGTTGGAACAAGTATGTCCGTGACGCTCACAAGAACGCTAGGCAGAAGTATCTAACCTGGGTATGTTATGGTCGGACTAATAGTGGTACCATTTATAATAAAATGTATGATTCGAGAAAAATTTTCAACAGCAAATTAAAGTATTATCAGAATAATCAAGAGCAAATAAAAATGAATATTTTAGCTACACAACACAGGAATAAAGATTTTAGGGGATTTTGGCAACAAACAAAAAAGTTAAGTCCAAAGCCTAGCTTCCCAGTAAGTGTTAACGGCATTAGTGAATCACGGGATATAGCGAACATGTTCAGATGTCACTTTCAAGTGGAGTCTCCGCTAAAAAGTGCACAGCTTGTGGATGAGGGGGTGGTGGTGTCGGGGGTGCCGGACCGCGTCACAGCTAAGCAAATTGCTCTAATGATAAAAGGAATGACGCGAGGGAAGTCTCCTGGAGACGACGGCCTTAGCATTGAACATTTTCGCTATGCGGGGCCACACCTACCGAGACTCTTCGGGCTGCTGTTCACACTATGTATTAGGCATTCCTCTGGTAAATGAGGCAATAAAGACGGTGGTAGTGCCTATTATTAAAAATAAAACTAGAGGTCATTCCGATAAGTGCAACTACCGTCCGATATCATTAGCTACAGCCACATCTAAGGTGCTTGACGGCCTGCTTGAGACACAATTTAAAGCATCTCCCTTGAGACCAGGACTTTCGACTGATTGTTAGGTACTACACGGCTAGGAACACGCCTGTGTATGCAGCAATAGCATAAATAGAGAATAGGATAATTTTTATTCAATATAGAGTAGTAGGTATAAATAATATTTATGAAAGTCATTCTTATGTTTTATTCCCACTGGTTCGTAAAATACCTCCGTCTTGGAAAGAACTAACAAGAAACCCAGCAAGACATGTAAAAAATACCGGCCAAGTGCGAGTAGGTTCCGTACCATCGTAAAACATATTTCTAGTAGGGAAGCCCCCTTTAATTTTTAATTTATTTTTATAATTCGTTGTTATAGCGGCAACAGAAATACACATTCTGTGAATATTTCAACTGTCTGTCTATTACGTATCACGAGATATAGCCCGCTGACAAATAGACGAACGGACGGATGGACGGACGGACGGACAGTGAAGGCTTAGAATAGAAGAAATAGAATAGAATTAGAATCTATTTGTCTGACAATAGACCTCAGGTATGATGCTTGATTTATTCTATGTACTATCAAGTTCAGATTAAAATCTGGTTCAAGGGTTAAAGTATTAGGGATATTCATCGGAAACAGTCACACATTTCCTTGTAATAAGTAATTTATATGATAATTTATTATTGAAATGATCCTTTACAAGAGACTATAATAATTATTATAATTATTAAATGTTGTACGTCATACAATTAATGATCATAGTGTTAGCATATTTTAATAATATGTATTGTTATAACTAGTATTGTGGGTAATTAACGCGTTGCGTCTATAACAGATACAATCGCGCCTCATTTAGCTATTATTTTTAATACTAGTATCGAATCTGGTGTGTTTCCTAATTTAATGAAGCATAGTAAAGTAATACCTTTATTTAAATCTGGTAGTACATTAGACCCCGCCAATTTTAGACCTATTTCTGTACTACCAACACTTAGTAAGATTTTTGAAAAAATTGTTCTTTATCAAATGTAAAAAAAATTTAATATAAATAATTTACTTCATAAAAATCAATTTGGTTTCACAAGGGGTCGCTCGACAACTGACGCCGGTGTTGAGCTGATTAAATATATCTTTAATGCATGGGAGAATTCACAGGATGCTTTGGGTATATTTTGTGGCCTATCCAAGGCCTTCGATTGTGTTCACCATGAAACATTAATCAGGAAACTTCAACACTACGGTGTAAGAAGTGATGCTCTTAAATTAATTATTTCATATTTAAGTAAGAGAACGCAAAAAGTTGTCATTAACAATATGAGCTCTTCCGGATCGATGGTACAAATGGGCGTGCCTCAAGGCTCAATTCTCGGCCCATTTCTGTTTCTTGTATACATTAATGACTTACCTTACATAGTAGGGGATAACCATGATATAGTATTATTTGCAGATGACACTTCTTTAATTTTCAAATTAAGTCGACAATTACTAAAATATGACGAAGTAAATAATGCTATATCTAAATTAGTAAATTGGTTCAATGTTAATAATTTGCATTTAGATGGCATTAAAACGAAATATATGAAATTCATGATTCGAAATGTCAAACAATTAAATAGTAATGTAATTTTAAATGGGGAGAAACTGAGTCTTGTAGATACCACCATTTTTCTTGGAATCACACTAGACGCGAAGCTTCACTGGAGCCCCCATATATCAAAACTAGCAAGCAGACTTAGTTCTGCAGCATATGCTGTAAAAAAGATTAGAAGTCTAACCAGTGTTGAAACATCTAGACTAGTTTACTTTAGCTATTTCCATAGCATAATGTCGTATGGTATTTTGCTATGGGGACACGCAGCTGACACTGAAATTATATTTGTTTTACAGAAGAGGGCCATAAGAGCAATTTATGATTTAAAGCCTAAAGAGTCGTTGCGACAAAAATTTAAGGAAATTAATATGTTAACTTTGGCCTCTCAATACATTTCAAAAATAAAAATAGTTTTACAAAAATAAGTGATATTCATTCTGTAAATACTAGGAACAGACACAAGCTAGTAGTATCAGTTACTCGACTCCATCGAGTCAGTAATTCATTCTTGGGGCGATGTATACACTTTTACAACAAAATTCCAGAAAATATACAAAGTTTGACCTGCTCAAAAATCAAAAACTTTATTAAACTAAGTTTGTAAGTTGGTAAAACATTTCTAGTAGGGAAGCCCCCTTTAATTTTTAATTTATTTTTATAATTAGTTGTTATAGCGGCAACAGAAATACACATTCTGTAAATATTTCAACTGTCTACCTATTACGTATCATGAGATATAGCCCGCTGACAAACAGACGAACGGATGGATGGACGGACGGACGGATGGACGGACGGACGGATGGACGGACGGACGGATGGACGGACGGACGGACAGCGAAGGCTTAGAATAGAATTAGAATAGAAGAAATAGAATAGAATTAGAATCTATTTGTCTGACAATAGACCTCAGGTATGATGCTTGATTTATTCTATGTACTATCAAGTTCAGATTAATATATATTAGCTGGATACCTAATCTCTAGTTCAAGGATGAAAGTATTAGGGATATTCATCGGAAACAGTCACACATTTCCTTGTAATAAGTAATTTATATGATAATTTATTATTGAAATGATCCTTTACAAGAGACTATAATAATTATTAAATGTTGTACGTCATATAATTAATGATCCTAGTAAAAACACACATGAGTAAGCACCATTGACATAATAAAAACATACAAATATTTTTGTGTACTGACCTTAGAAATAATTTTTATTCATAGCTACAACATTTTTTTAGGTAGCACAACAAATAAAAAACAAAAGATGTTTATATGTACGTCAAACGATTTCCTCGACATTTGTGAACCACAAAAAGGAAGAGCTACTCAATTCGAGTGTATTTTGTAATTAATTTTTTATCTATGTTACCTAATAACTGTTTTCTAGGTGAACCGATTTTAATGATTCTTTTTTTATTTGATAGCTGGCGCTTCTCATGTGGCCCGATATAAATTTGATCACGGTCTGATCAGTAGTTTTTGAGTTACCCTTAATATTTTATATTAAAGTCGGTTGTACAAAATTTTTAATTTTACTACTTGTAATGATTCTCTTTTATTAAATAGGTTATGCTTCGGGAGTATTACCATATAAATTTGGATAATAAATTATAACCCTAAGGGTGAATAAAAAGTTTAGAAAGTTTTTAATGCAACTATTTCGACGACTACCTATTTTTACCCTAAGCTTTAATATTCAAAAAATTATATATATTATACATATAATAGGCCAAAAACTTAAACTTTACTTCCATACACTAAGTCTCAGTACTGACTTCGGAAGTCTTTCTTCTCAATCAGTCAATCTACAGAACTTTATTTAATGAAAAATTTAACGAAGCCAACCGAAGTCAACCCTGCTGCTTTCAACTATCGCAATGCTGGCAATTTTTTTTTATAGAATTAGGGTGACAAACCAGCACACAGTTCACCTGATGGTAAGTAGTTGCTGTGGCCCATAGACATCTACATCTATCCTCGATTACGAATCAAAATGCAGATGCGTTGTCACCCGTGAGGACTAAGATGGAATGCCTCGTTTCCAGTAAAAAAGGTCTCCGGTTCTCTACACTCACCATACGAAACACAGCAGTACTAAGCTGCTATTTTACGCTGATATACTGTGAGGGCGTGGTCCTTCCCCGGTCGAGCTGACCCATTCATGCCACAAATATAGCTGCAGCATGGCTCTACCACGTTTAAGATGTTATTTTAATTCTGAAGATCTACAAGCTGTGAGGCAATTTATATTGTTCCTCGAGGTTTGAATTCAGTTACATGTGTCCATGTATTCATCCATGAATTGTTAAATATAGGCCTCCCTTCTCATAGATTGCCTCAAACGAGGGATACTTTTCATAGTCGCCACACTTTTTTTTATTACGATTGTTTATATATTTTGATTGTTATCAAGAACATGCGGTTGCAGCTGCCCACCACTGTTTCATTTTCCTTCGACGCTAATCCTCGAATATTTTACAATTAAAAAGTTACAAAGTAATTTAAATATGCACTAAATACCTGTTGTAGTTGACTCATTGCAGTGGGAGCTAGTCCTAGTCCGGGTTGCGAGACATCTCCTGCGATCATGCTCAGCTTATCCAACTGCTCAGGTCTGGTCTGACGAATCACATCAAATACCTAGACAAAAAGTTTTCATCATTTAGATAATGTCGAAAAAAGAACCTGACTATTCATCTTCTTACCTATATCTCAACTAACTAAAGAAAACTTGAAAATGAGATTGTACAACCGGTACGTTTTGCCAGTGATAACTTATGAACAGTCCGCTCAGCGAGCTATGGAGAGGGCTATGCTCGAGGTTTATCTGCGTGATGAACTTAGAAATGAGGATATCCGCAGGAGAACTAGAGTGACCGACATAGTTCAACAGATTAGTAAGCTGAAGTGGCAATGGGCAAGCCATATAGCTCGAAGAACCGACAACTGGCATTCCTTGGGGGAGGTCTATGTTCAGCAGTGGTCTTGTGAAGGCCTGTAATGATGATGATGATGATTTGTCTTCCCTTACTTTTACCATATGTGTATTTATTACACATACGCTTTTACTCAAACGACAAACTCCTAAGGAAAGCTTTGTTGTTTTCTGTCCGGTTTGAATAAATAATATGTGCTTTGTGGCGTTTCTTGGGGGAGGCCTATGTTCAACAGTGGACTTGAGAAGGGATGTAATGATGATGATGATGAATAAATAATTTATGTTTTATCTGAGAGACTATACTGTCTCCACAGTCTAAACCGAATATTAAAAGGGATGTATTCAAAAATTCCCACCAACCTGAGATTGTTTCAGATCCTGCAAGCGTTTCTCCGGGGTCACACCCTTCTTGTGACGCAACAGGAGATGCAGTCGACTTATGTCTGGACATGTCGCCAGTAATCTTTCAACTAGAACCTAAAAATACAATTTAAATGTAGCGTTTGTTATTAATATTTTTACAAAACATAACGCTGGATTGCGAATGTGGCACGGGCTCAATATAATATATATTTTTTTATATAGGAGAGGGGGCAAACGAGCATTCGGCTCACGTGATGGTAAGCGACTACCACCGCCCATGAACAACCGCAACACCAGGGGAATTGCAGATGCGTTGCCGGCCTTTTAAAAAGGAGTAGGCTCTTTTCTTGAAGGTCCCTAAGTCGTATCGGTCCGGAAAAATCGCTGTTGGTAAACTATTCCATAAGGAAGTTGTGCGAGGAAGTAAACATCTTCTAAATCGCAAAGTGGTGGACCGCCAATCATTCAGATGGTGTGGATGGTATCGGGAGTTCTGCCGCAATGTGCGTTCGTGAAATTTGGCAGCTGGGATTAATCCGAACAATTCCTCAGAGCACTCCCCGTGGTAAATGTGAAAGAAAATGCAAAGAGATCCAACATCTCTTCGCAGCGCCAATGAATCGAGCCGATCGGAAAGGACTCGGTCGTCGACGATTCGAGCCGCTCTGCGCTGGATGCGGTCAAGTGGAAGGAGCTGGCACTGGGGAGCCCCAGCCCAGAAATGGGAACAGTATTCCATATGATGCCGAACCTGCGCCTTGTAAAGTTGCAGGCGTTGTGCCGGCATAAAATACTGTCCCGCTCTCCTGAGCAAATTATATTGCTTATTTTATAGAGTGAGGTGATGAACGAGCACGCAATTCACCTGATGGTAAATAAGATAAGATGCAGTGGTCTATAGACATTTACATTATTTATCCTCGATATAAAATCAAAAGGCTTGAGACTCTGTCACCTCCTTATTCTTATGTGATTTAATACGCCGTTCTTTATGATGTACTCCTGGCAATTTTAATTTTTCAGTTAGCGGTCTAGGGTATCCAGGCCCAATTCCATTAATGATATTCGTACATTCGGCGTCACGATGACGTGGTCTACGGGCGATGGTCGTAATACTCGCTCAGAGCCCTCGGTATAGCTAACGGGCTTTGACAATGCGATCTGTCACTTTCTACGCAATATTCGGCTGGGAAACTGATATTTGACACTACAAACCCTATTCTAACAATGCACACAACTCTTGGTCTATAATTTCTGGAACTGAATCTTGTCAGTCTGGCCATAATTCTCTTAAAATTATTATTGTTTATTTTAAGTATTTAGTTCCCATGTCATCGCGGTCGAAATTGGTCAGAAAACATTGTCATGGCGATAAGTTACAAGTCAGTCAACTTGTAGAGCATATTAATAATGTCAGTATTTAGTTATTAATAGTTCTCATTAATCCAACAACAAATATCTTGCAACTACCGCTTAGTTAGAGTCCAGTTAAGTTGTAATCTTACGTACCTTACCCATGAAGCCGGTAGCACCGGTAATAAGAACTTGACGTCCAGCGTAGAAGTGTGGTATCAGAGCGCCGTCTGGCGAACGCGGTCGTGCTACCATTTCTATAAGGGGTATCCGCTTTCTGCAACAAATAACATGCTTTTTTATTTCAACTGTTATTATATTACTTTTATGAAATTGAAGTGACTGCAGACCATGGACACCTGCAACTGACCCCAAACAAAGGAGGATATGGATAAGTGGCCACCTCCGATGACCAGAACAGAATGCCACATAGCCTGTAATTATATTGGCTTTTTATACACTTCAGAGCCAAACGCAGCAGTGCAAACACTACTGCGCTCGGCAGGCGGGAAAATTAAAATAAGCACGACGTATAATTTTATTCATAAAGAATGGTTATTATTATTATATATTATTAATTTTACTCATAGAAATTTAATCCTTAAATAAAATATATCAAGATATGGTTTGGCGATTCCCATCTTTATATAAAACTATCTTTTCGCCCCGCGGTGTCACCCGCGTCGAAGTTGTAACGTCCAGAGAGTCATGACCCCAAGCTTATTATGATATCGCAAAATACGAAGATGTATGAATATTTTATCATAATTTTGTTTTAAACGTGTTTAAAATTGAGTTTTTTCGAGCAAACTTTGTACCTCCGTCATAACACTTTATAGTTAGGTTTGTTCGGAGAATTGAAAGATGCGTATTTCATTATTTTAACAAAAAGGTAATTGAACTAATTATCAAGTTACATTAATTGTTTCATAATTTTGAACACTAAAATGTATTCGCTCCGCAAAATAAAAGTGTTATGAGATCGCATAATACGAAGATTTTATCATAATTTCGTTTTAAAGGTATTACCTCAATTAGCAAGTTATAAAACCCATTTTTTGTGTTTTTCCATACAATTATTGTATCCTCGTCTTAACTGTAGGTCCGACAAATCATCCAACGAGAACAAACTTTAATTTATCACCAACTTTTAAGAGATTTTGTTCGATGGTTAGATGGCCCCGTTAAAAACCTAAATTATTCAAGAAATATTATGATATTTAATTTACATAATTATTCAGTTTTTCTAAACATGAGTCGTGTACGCGGTAGAGCCACGCTGCGGCTATATTATGTTATTTTTATTTATTTAAAAACTTAAATGTAACACACCTTAAGGTAAAGGGTATAAAGGGCGTACATAATGCCATGTCGCAGTCTCTGCCAGTCAACCCAGGGTTGATTGGCAGAGAATATTAACAATTATTAAGGATGTAGCACGATTGGGTCTGCATAACCGGGGTAGGACCACGCTCCCACAGAATACCAGCGTAAAATACTGGGGTGTAGAGAACCAGAGACCCTTTTCACGGTAAACGAGGCATTTCATCTTACCAACAACGTGACAACGGTGGCAACGCATCTGCATTTTGATTTTTGATCGAGGAGAGGTGTGGATATATGTGGACCACAGCATGCACTTACCATCAGGTGGACTATGTGCGCAAAATACAGTTTTTGAAGTAAAGGTAAAAAACGATAACACAGTCTATGGTATAACCGGTTACATCTGGTTATACGAGTATACCTAGGGGCTCTGGTCGCGTACATTAAAATTTTAAATTTTATGTAAGTGTCCGGCTTTTGAACCAATGCCAAATTACGGCGAGCGAAATTAATGAAGGCTGTTACCAGGCAGTGGGTTGTATATCGGCTTAAACTTTACTTTGATCGCCTCTAAATTTACACTCTATGATAACTTTTATCAACTCCTGACGAAAACAGAGGGGTTTTTATGCTTGTAACTTAGAGTATATAATTACAGTACTACTGTAATTACTCTAGTCATTAGTCATTAGGAATTTATTCCAAAAACAATATACATCGTGTGGGAAAACTTAATTGTAACATAAAATATTAAATTAAAGTTTGTAGCGTGTATTTGTGTGTCTGTCTGTGCCATCATAGCTCCTTAAAGGAAGGACCGATTTTGATTAAGTTTTTAACATGTTTTTTTTTAGCATGGTACGAGTATGTATCTATGTAACGGAATTTTGAATGTGATTTTCATCCCCTTCAAAACGTCGCATTGATTTGAAACTTCGCGCACTTATCAAGGACCGATGACAATGCAATTATTTAAATAGTTTGTCCCATTATCTTTGCCAGGATTCTCAGGGTTAGCGATTTTTCCATCCCTGATACTCGGTAGTGTCTTTGTGCCAAGTGCACGTATAGAATAAAACTTTCCGGAGAGGGAGCCGGGGAAACGGCTACTTCATCTAAGGAAAGCAGCAGGTGCGCAAATATCCCATCTCACACATAAGTTACCGACTTTGAATATAATAAAATATTGTGTACAGTAGTTTTCCAACAAGTTATATCGAATCTATTCCGATTGTAGCTAAAAACTACAAAATCTTCACTTTAAAGGTGAATTGATGTAAATTATTACAAATAATAAATAAATAAAAAATTGAGCCGCGTTTAGAATAGACATGCATGGTTCGATCTTTGAGACAACCATACGACTACTTGTAAGGGTAGTTATAGAATTTTGTACATCATATTATAACTACTGTTCTTAGCCGTGCATTGCGACATGCATGGTTCGATCTTTGAGACAAGCATACGACTACTTGTAGGGGTAGTTATAGAATTTTGTACATCATAATATTATAACTACTGTTTTTAGCCGTGCATTGCGACATGCATGGTCCGATCTTTGAGACAAGCCTACGACTACTTGTAGGGGTAGTTATAGAATTTAGTACATCATATTATAACTACTGTTCTTAGCCGTGCATTGGGACATGCATGGTCCGATCTTTGAGACAAGCATACGACTACTTGTAGGGGTAGTTATAGAATTTTGTACATCATATTATAACTACTGTTCTTAGCCATGCATTGCGATATGCATGGTCCGATCTTTGAGACAAACATACGACTACTTGTAGGGGTAGTCAGAGAATTTTGTACATCATTTTAAAACTACTGTTCTTAGCCGTGCATGGAGACATGCATGGTCCGATTTTTTGAGACTAGCATACGACTACTTATAGGGGTAGTCAGAGAATTTTGTACATCATTTTAAAACTACTGTTCTTAGCCGTGCATTAGGAACATGCATAGTCCGATCATTGAGACAAGCATACGACTACTTGTAGGGGTAGTAAGAGAATTTTGTACATCATTTTAAAACTACTTTTCTTAGCCGTGCATTGTGACATGCATGGTTCGATCTTTGAGACAACTAGCTTAATTTTTTTACCCGTTACAACCCGGATAGCCACAGGACCGACCATCAACAGTTGATAAGGCCGGCATTTGAGAGATCTGCCTTGGGCTCTACTGTTATACGATAAGCAAAAAGTAAATACGGTTTACCATACAACTGTACTGAGACATACATGACTTAATCATCAAGACAAGCCTACAACTACTCGCGGATTCAACTGGGGAATTTCGTATATTTCGCAACTTAAATAATAATGTTGCTTGAGAAACTAAACTGCACTCTTCAACAACAGATTGATCCTATATAACTATACAAAAAACTTCGTTCAAAAAAAAAAAAACAAAAAAAAACACGCTTTCGTAGTTAGTTAGCCACACTCAAAAATAGAAAATAAATAATAGTTTAAAAAAAAAAACTTTAAAAAACACGCTTCTGTAGATACAATATCAAGCACTTCACGCTTTTTTACAATAAAATGAATTTTTATGTTAATCACTATTTTCTTATTTTAAACTTATTGAAAATTATTTTCTACTTTTTAGTTCGGTTATTAACAAAAGCGTGCTTTTTAGTTTTTTTTTTAAACTTTTATTTATTTTTGTTTGAAAGGTAACTTAATCAAGAACCAAGAACCAAGAAAACCTGTTCAGCCGTTTGAAGATCATCAGCTCTTTTTCTTTAGGGGCTTTTAAGTTTTTAACTTAAGTTATTAATTATAATTATTAACATTATTTGCCAGTGCTTGATTTCTATCCCAAACGATGGTAAGTCTCCTGTAAGGTTAGCCAAATTCACTTTCCACAATCTTGAATGCCAATAGAAAAGTAAATTAATGAAATCGACGTTAACGGAACCAAAGGACGAGAGTTCAGAGTACATTTGACATTTGATGATTCTTCTAGACCGATACGACTTAGAGACCTTCAATAAAAAGCCTATTACTTTTTAAAAGGCAGGTAACGCAACTGTGTTGCAGATGTTCATGGGCGACACTAATCACTTACATATGAAGAGCTTTATGCTCGTTTGCACCCTCTCCTATAAAGAAAAGTAAATGACTTAATGTTGAGATATTCATCATCATTTTCATTAGTGTTTATAGATGATGTACATTACCATGTAAACTTCCACCGAAAATTGGTTTCAACGAGACCTAGTAAGTAGTTTTTTTTAATACGTCATAAATCGTAAAAGGCAATTTACCTTTCATTCAATCAACTCAAATATAAAAATAAAATAAATACACTATTATTAAAACATCGATCAAAGTTACAACGAACTACAAGAACTTTTATATTATGTTACTTGCTGCTACGGAACCCTTCATGGACGAGTCCGACTCGCACTTGGCCGCTTTTTTTAATTGTAATTTTTTGTGTTAATGTGTAAAAAGTGCTAATGAAAACTAGCAAGACGAGATATTTTGGATATTTATCAACATCTATCTGAGTATGCTAAACGTTTATTATTTAAAACTCCAGGTTAAACAAAACAATGTTTAAAGAAGAAACGTTAACCACGGGGATCAGTGTACTTACTCGTATCGTGCGGCGTCCAAACAAAGTATGCTAAACGTTTATTATATACCTTAAAACTCAAGGTTAAAAAACAAGCATTAACCGTGGGGTGGGGGGTGGGGGGGGGGTGCATCTTTTTCCCTGTTGTATGTACTCAATACTTATTCTGTTACTTGGAACTTAAAACCGCGTCCCAAGTTTATGCAACATATAAAAAATTTATCAAAAACTTGACCACCGCGACGGCAGATTGCTGCTACATTATCGTATAGATACGGGGTAGAGCCATGCTGCAGCTATATTAGAAGTATAGTTGTAGCACGAATGGATCGGCTCGACCGGGGAAGGACCACGCTCTCA